ATCACGCTAGGGAGTGTGTTGCCGGACGGCGCGACGAGGGCCGTAGCGACGACGCACGCGGCAGCACCGCCCGAGAGCGGGCCACTCGCGGGCCCCGCCACGTCCTGCCGGCCGCCGGCAACCCTTGGCGCTTGGCGCGAGAATACCGTCGCGTCGGAGTGTTGACACTCCGGCGGACGCCCTCCGCCTCACCAAGTAAGTAAGGAAACTATGAAAGTAGTGGTATTTCACTGTCGACGGAGAACCGCCTCCACCTATGCTACCTCTCCTCCTACAGTACCAGACTAGAGTCAAGCTCAACAGGGTCTTCTTTCCCCGCTGATTCTTCCAAGCCCGTTCCCTTGGCCGTGGTTTCGCTAGATAGTAGGTAGGGACAGAGGGAATCTCGTTAATCCATTCATGCGCGTCACTAATTAGATGACGAGGCATTTGGCTATTGACATAATTTATTTGAGATTTACATGCTTTACTTTAACATATTTTTTCCCCTCTTCTTCGGGGCTAACCTAATTTCACATTCGACTGGGCCTAATTTACATGTTATGTACATAAGGGCTCCCTACACCCCCAGGACGACCCAAAATGGGTCCTAGTGCGACGAGTCGCATAAAAAAAAGAATTGAGTTGCCCACATCCAAATACCCAATTTTGACAAATAAAAAGACTTACATATACAAAAACAACAAAAAAGAAACAAAACCCAAAGTAGAATGAACATCCCTCTTATATTTTTATCAAACCAGAAATTTTGCCTACCATTCACTATTGTATCTTCTTCTTCCTCTCCTCCTTCGCTCACTCTCCTCCTTTCCTCCATCCTCTGGCGCCTCCGGGAAGCCTCCAAACCTCAGCCGCAATGATGGCAGATTCATCGCAACGATCGGTCGCCTCCCTCGTCCGGTCCTTCCCTTCCGACGATTGCTGCATCCACTCTTCCTCTCCACCTAGAGAACGATATGACCGACCCCCTGACGACCCTCTCAGCTATCCATCCCAAGCATCTGCTGCTAACTCCTATCTTCTTCAGTTCGGTCACTGACTTCCTAGACCAAATTCCCTTCCATGATAGGGTTACCGGGACTACGTCGATCTTCATTTCGGGGATGTCGGTCATCTCGGATACAGCCTGGATGATCCACGGTTGCCCATAGCTCTCCCTCTTCACCTGTCCCGCCTGGTCCAGATCCATCTTACAGCTAACTATCTGGACGTCCAGTATCCGGGCCAGGTCTTTGTTGGCTATTATAAGATCAGGGCGTTTCTTCCTTCCACCGTGGGAGATGGTAGTCTCTCTGAAGACATCATGCCCTCTTCTTCTGAAATTTTCTTCCAAGAATCTTACTACCGCATGATGCCTCAATATCCTACCACCCCTTGACACGGGGCACCTCTGTATAATGTGAGCCGCCGTTTCCTGCGCTGGGCATCCCATTCTGCAGTGTGTCTCCATCCGTTGTCTTCTTGTACCCCGCGTCAATCTCATCCTCGTCGGAAGTGCGCCACTATAAACTTTTAAGAACCGGACGTACTCTGAGCCGGTGAGGTGCTCGGCAGTGCCGTATACCCATCGGTTCGATTCCTTCACATTCCAAATACCCCTAAGGTCCTCCCCATCTACCGCTCTCTCCAAGGACTCCCTTTCCTCTCCCCCGGGTATCGGCGGAATCCTTCCCGTTGGGAATTCCCTTCCCAGGTGCTCCCTCACCTCAGGGGACAACCCCTCCTCTTCTAGCCCCACTGCCACCGACGAGAACCTCTTTTCCCTCCAGTAGGGGACCGCCTTTCCCAATCTGGGCACCCCTAACCCTCCAGATCCCAATGGGGCGTGCAACAGAGCGCACGGAACATCCTTGGGCAGGTGCAACCAACCCCGCAGCGCCGACCGTATCCTGACGTCTAGCTTCTTCAAAAAGGCCCTAGGCGACACACCCAAAACCAATCTGTGGAGACACCCCGGAATCAGGAAGTCCCTAAGCAGAATATACTTCTGTTGGGGTTTCAACGGTGCCCCTGTGATCCTATTGATTCCCACTTCCAAATCAATATCAGCCTTGTTCACTCCCGTGCAACTGAACCCAACCCCTAGGTACTCCCAGACATCGGCCACCCCCAAAGAGGCCAATCGACCCCCACTAGTGGCAAAACCAACTTGGTCATCTACCTTGATCACCTTCCTTTTACCAGAAGGAGTGAGAGTAAGAGTCCGGCACTTATGAGGGTTAAGCTCCAGTCCACATTGAGCCAACCCCTCCTCAACCGCTCTGAGCATACACTCCATTCCCTGGACCGAGGAAGAAACAAGGATCACATCGTCAGCATATGCCAAAGCAGAGACCCTGACCTCTCCAAGCATGAAGCCAACCCTCCCGGGAAGTCCCCCAAGGACATGGTCCATCACCATATTGAAAAGGAGGGGAGACAACGGATCCCCCTGTCTAACTCCTCTAGCCGGTCTCATCTCAGCCGCCGCCCTCCCCCTGCTAACAATAACAGAGACAGAGTCGGAGTACATAGATGAAACCTTTTGCACTGCTTCATCAATATGCTCGTTTATTCGCCAGCCTTTTTCCCATAATACACCCAAATATTTTATTTTTTGGGTCATTTTGATTTCTATATTCCCATAAGATATAATCGGGTTTCTCTTCATACTACCTTTCAAGAACATCATCCTTGTTTTTTCCACTGAGATCTTCATTTTATTACTAGAGCACCACTCCACCATCTTACTTAAAACTTTTCTACCTTCTACTTCTATTTCTCTTCTCGACTCACCCCATAGAATCACCACACAGTCATCCGCAAAAGCAACCATCTCCCAACCTATTGTCTTTACCACTCTTATCAGTTCATCTATAAGAACCTTCCACAATTGCGGACCCAACACTGAGCCTTGTGGACATCCTCTATTTACTTCCTTTACTACCCTTCTGCCAGCCTCCCTCATTTCTACTTTTCGTCCTGTTAGATAGTCCCTTATTGTCCTATAGCAGCTTCTCTTGATGCCTTTATTCCTTAGTATGTTCATAACTCCTGGCCACCATACTCTGTCAAATGCGGCCTCCATATCGATAAATACTCCTAGCACTATTTTTTCCGTTCTTCTTTCTATTACATTTGTAATCCTTTCCATAGCATCTTCAGTTGATCTCCCTGGCATAAATCCATACTGCTCTCTACTTATTTCTGTAACAAATATCCTTTCCATATCCTTAACTATTAGTCTCTCCAGTAGTTTTCCCAATACTGGCAATAAACAAATCGGTCTATATGATTTAATTGCTTTCTCATCCTTTCCTTCTCCTTTTAGTAACGCCCGGATAATTCCTTTTTTCCATCTATTTGGAAATACTCCTTTATCTAGACACCCTTGATAAAGTTTCCTCAATGGTTCTTTTAGAATTTCCCATCCTTCCACTACCATCTCCATTACTATTCCCTCCCATCCTGGAGCCTTCCCTTTTTTGCATTTTTTCACTACATCTTCCATTTTTAGCAACGTTACCAATGTTCTTCCTACCTTCGGTACCAACTCTGTGTCATGCATCTTGAATCTTAGCTCTTTATGTTTTTCTGTCTCTTGTTCTAGATCATCATCAATTATTAAACCATTCAGCATCCTCTTCGCTGATTCTTCCCAGGTAAATTCCTTTAAGTCTTCTCCTATTGCCGTTAATGCCTTGCTGGGACTTATTTTGCCTTTCGCCATTTTATAAACAATATTCCATGGGCCTTTATCACACTCTCCTTCTACAAATTCTTTCCAACTTTCTTGTCTTTGGATTTCAATTTCTCTCCTGTATTCCCTTCTCATAGTCTTCCATCTCCTTTCTAATTCCTCTTTAGCACCATTTTCATTCTCTCTCCACCATTTCTTTCTAGCTCTCAGTACCTCTCTCTTCATTTCTTGGAGTCTTTTGCTCCACCACTTCACTTCTTTACCTCTTAAACTTATTTTCTTTAATGTTTTCCGAGCAGTTTCAATGATCCACCCTTCTATTTTTCCTGCATATTTAATTACACTCTCTTTAGTATTGATTGGGTATTCCTTCATTTTCTCCTCTTTCTCTTTAAGTTTTTCTCTATACTTTTCCCAATCTGCATTTTTTGTTTTCCATCTTACTCCTTCTGTCTTAATTTTTTCTGTCTTTAACCTTTTCCGATCAATCTCTATTTTTATTGCAGCATGCGGACTACTAGTCCACAGCCAATTTATGCTCCATTTCCTTATTTTATCTTTCAACTTATTAGTAGCTATAGTCACGTCGATGTTAGACCTTGCTCCTCCTCTTATGAACGTAGGACCTTCACTAATATCATTAATGATATTCAGCTTCTGGGCTGCTACCATTTCCATCAGTGCTACTCCTTTTTCGTCAGCTTTTTGCCCTCCCCAACTAGGACTTTTTGCGTTCGCATCCATTGTAATTAGGATGTCTTTTCCTTCTAATTTTGTGACTGCTCTCTCTATCATTGTCAAGTATTTCTCTATGCCATCTCTAAATTGACAATAAACATTTACTATATAAAAGCTGTTATCTCCCTCTGGCATCACTTCCACAACCACACAGTGGCTATTTGATAATTCGGGAATCTTCATAACTTGCACTTTTGGGTTTAATATCACCACCGCTGCCCAAGGTTTTTCATCTTTTTTATTTCCCATTACTATCTTGCTCCCCATTCCAAATTCCGGTATCTTGTTCATTCCAGTCACGTACGGCTCTTGAATTGCTAATATATCAACCCCTTCTATTAACGCACTTGTTCTTATTTCTATATTAGCATTTCTTGCCCTATCTAGGTTTATCTGTATTATTTTAAATACCTCTTCCTTTTTCCTTTCCTTCCTCTTATATCTCCTCATATTTATTTGTTTCATCCGCATCATATTTTACTTTCAGTTTGTCCGTCTCCCTCCACTACTTCCATTTTATCACCTCTATCATCTTTTATTTCATAAGACGTTATTTTTCTGATCTCCGCCTTCACTCTTGCCATTATTGGGCATCCACTCCAAAAAGTCGAATGTTTAACATCCTTTTGTTTGTATCTCTTACAATTTGCACATCCCATCTCTTTTTCACACTTTTCACTTCTATGTCCTTCCTCTCCACAGTGCGAGCAAGTAACCACTCTCCCACATCTCCTTTGATGATGTCCTAGATCATGGCATTTATAACACCTTATAGGTGTTATAAATTCTTCTGTGCTGCATGACCACACTCCCACATATACCCTTTTCTTCTTTATAATTCTTGCAAACAGGACCTCGTCTACTTTTACCACCCAAGACCTGGTATTTATATTTCGCTTTCCAAGTTCTATTTCCGGCACAAAAGCTTCTCGCCATCTTTCTTTAGTTATTCCAAAGAATAACTCAGGATTCCTACTCGCCACTGCATCAAGAAGTTCCTCCCTACTAATTTCTTTGTCCACTCCCCTGATCAGTATTCTCGGTTTCCTTAACTTGGGTTCTCCATCTACCATAAAGCCTGCTTCCCTTACTTTTTCATCCTTCCGTAATTCTTCAACATCATTTTCATCATGGAGTTCCACCACCATGTTTCTACCATGCCATCTCATATTTATAACTCTTATTTTCCCACCTTTTTTATCCAAGCATTTCACTAGATCTACTTTTTTCTTTCTTTCTCCTTCTCTGGGAAATTCCACTACAACCTGTGGTCCTCTCTTCTTTCTTTTTACCACTGAAGCCCATTCTCCTATCGTCTCACTCTTTACCGACTCTGTACTTTTGTCTCTTCGATGGATTTTTTGCGCTTCAAGCACTCTGGTTGCCTCTTCCGTTTTTTTCCTTAACCTCCTTCATTTCTTTTCCTATCTGCCTTATATCCTTAGATATATCCGTTTCTCCTAATTTTTCTATTCCCATTCTCACTTCATCTATTTTACTCCAGGGCATTTCCTTTACCCTCTCCTTCAGTACTCCCATATTCCCATGTACTGCATCCATTGCAGATTTTACATCAGTAAACATCATCTTCATTTCATTAAATTTCGCATCTGTTGCTTCTTTTCCTTTTCTTATCTCTATTCTTATCAAATTCTTTATTTTTTCTTCTTCCTCTTTTCTGTTTTGATCACACTCCTCCAAACTCCTCATCAGTACTTCATTATCCTGTCGTACCTTCTTCCCAAAATCTTGCATTTCTTTCTTTACTCCTTTTACTATTTCTTTTACTCGATCTTCCACTATTTCATTTATCATATCTTTCATATCTTGCTTCCATTCTCTTGGGTTCATACTCTTAATTTCCTGTTCTATATTAACAATTTTACTTTCTACCCATTCACATCTCCTCATCCTCCTTGCCTCTTCTTCCCACTTGGTTCTCGCTTCCATGATTCTATCCAACCTGGGTAATATATAGTTCACATGCCTTCTATCCTTTGTACTAAGGGTTCTGTCGGTATAACTCCTTATCTCATTAATCAACTGATCCATCTCCTCACAATATTCTTTCACTACAAATGACTCCTCCGCCATTCCCTTTAATTCTTCTGGAGATGATACAAAAGAGTGTCTTCTCATCTTTTTAGTCCTTATTATTCTTTCCACTGTCCATCCCCTCTCTTCACTCTGACTTCCTGCCCATTCAAATACCTCTCCGCCCTTCACTGGTGTTGTATCTATTTCTCCCTCTGTTCTTCCTCTCTTTGGTCTCTGACCTTTAGGGACTTCGTCCCTATCCCCCATCTCCACCTCCAACTCTTCTAAATCACCAGTAGCTTTACTTTCCTGATGTCCCTGGCTTACATCAGGGCAGGTAACTTTACCCAACGCACCCCCCTGCAAGGGTTCCGTCTGGGGTTCTTCGGTTCCGAGTCCCGAATAGACTTTTTCATTTTTTGTACCTTCCATATTTAATTAATTAATGAAGCCTAAGACTGCCGTGTTTTTACCTTTAAGACGATCGATATTGACATTTGTGACACTAAAAGTTTTAGGTCGTCACCTAACCTAATATTTTCCCTTTTCCACTCGTTTTACTTAAAACCCTCAATAACTTAATATAACAAACTAAATTTTGAATCAAACAAGGCCACGTGGTTACCACATGGTTACCTATTTTAACTTATTTCGAAATCCCTACTGCACCATTTTAAATAAAATTTTGACATTAATTGCCCCTTACTAAGACCTAAATAATTGTGAAAACAGAATTCCAAAAAAACAGCCCCAAAATCAACAATTTATCAAAACTGTCAACCACGTGGTTACCACGTGGTGACCTATTTTCCCTTATATCAGAATCCCTATTGCACCAATTTATCTAAAATTTTGACAAAAATTTCCCCTTACTACGATCTAACTAATTACCAAAACAGATTTACAAAAAACAGCCCCGAAATCAACAACTTTCCCAAAAACTGTCAACCACGTGGTCACCCACGCGGTTAACTAACTTCCTAAAATCTACTAAAATTCCTTTAATCTTAATTACCACACAACATACAGTTTATCTAGTATCATACACACACATATATACTCTATTTACCCCTCTTTCACAAGATCATTAACAAATTTTTCACCCTTCTAACCTTCACGTTTTTTAAAAAATTTTAATTATTTCATAGTTAACTTACGAAACATTTTAAACTCTACATTCACCTCACCTTCAATATCTTTACACCAGCAAAACACAACAAGGACACTTTACGCAATACAACACTTTAAAAACTGAAAATCTATAAGAGCACTTGTTCTCACTCCAACAGTCCAAGCACCAGTAGGTAGGGACAGAATGAAAGACAAACTTAGCAGTGGTTTTAACACAGTGGTTTTAGACCATTTATCTGCTTTGTCACCTGTCGGTTGGCTGGGACATAACCTTCCATCTAGCTCCCCTTCGTTAGAAGGATCCAACCACGACCACCACGTCCATGACCAGGCAGTGCAAGCACTCCTGGCCACCACCTCATGGTGGCTCTGGCAGAGCCACCCCCGTGGTACCATTTCGGTATAAATACCTTAAAGGCAAGAATGGTCGCTTGCCCGGGGTTGGAAGTGTGAAGCACTTACACAGCCCCTACGGCTTTACTAACCTCACCCGCCTAAGGGAGGATGCCCTAAGGACAAGATGCGGTAGTGGGACGACAAGACCTAGGTCTTGCCGATAACCGTCCCCAATTATAATCTCTATCAGGTCTTTCTAAATCACACAAGTCTCTAAAATCTTCTTTCTCCTCAAGATTCTTTCCACAACGTTCTTCGTTTCCTCTATATTCTTATGCTCAATCCATCGTTGCACATTATATTTGTCATCAAAACTGGGCCATCCTCTCCTCTCTTCCTTATATCTATCGCACTCTACTAAAACATGGACCAGATTCTCCACCCGCCCACATTGACACCTATCACTATCATTAAGCCCTCTCTTCTTTAAAAAAGTCTTAAAATCTCCATGTCCACTAAGGACTTGTGTTAGGAAATGATTCGGTTTCAGCCAGCCCATTTCTATTCTATCTGTAATATTAGGAAATATGTATTTGGTCCATTGACCAACTTCTGACTCTTCCCATCTTTTTTGCCACTTTTGCTTCTTAATTTCCCTTATTTGCCCTTTCAGTCCAATCTTGTTTAATTGGGTGCCTTCCCACTCTCCTATCCTATTGTTCTTAAACTTGAATTGGATCGCTCTTCCTTCAGCCTCTATATCCAATGGTATCAATCCCGCAATTATCATAAGAGCATCACTTGAGACTGTTCTATATGCTCCTGTCAGGGACATAGCTATCACTCTTTGTCCACTTATTAGCTTTTTCGGACCTTTGCTTGGTATCATACGGTCATGCCATGCCCCTACGCCATATAAGACGATTGGGACAAATACTCCTTCATATATTCTATGCATTTCCTCTTGTATGTTAATATTCCAAGCCATTCTTATCGCTCTTACTACATTTCTAAAAATCTTACAGCCTTTAGCTGTCACCTCTTCAATATGGGACCTAACCTTCCATCCTCTTTCCCAACTAATACCCAAATATTTAATTTTATTAACCGTCCTTATTGCCTTATCGTTTACGGTAACACTAGGTTCTCTATTCATGTTCCCTTTCAGGAACATGATTTTCGTCTTTTCACTCGAAATCATCATTTTGTTAAATTCGCACCATTTATTGATGCTTTCAAGCACTTCTCTCGTCTTCACTTCAAGATCTCTTCTGGATTCTCCCCAAATAGTGACTACGCAGTCATCTGCGTACACCACTATCTCCCATTTCTCCTGTAATATATTTATCAATTCATCTATCAGAATTTTCCACATTTGTGGGCCCAATACGGATCCTTGCGGACATCCTCTGTTCACAACTTTCTTTACCGTTCTTCCTCCTTCAGTTATTTCAACTCTCCTGTCCTTCAAGTAATCTTTAATCACCCTGTAGAGTGATCTTTTAACTCCCTTCCTTCTCAATATGCCTAAAATGCTTGGCCACCATACCCTGTCGAATGCAGCAGCCATGTCAATAAACACTCCCAGAACATATTTCTCCCTCCTACTTTCAACTAGCTCCTTAATTTTCACCATTGCATCTTCTGTTCCCCTCTTTGGCATAAAGCCAAACTGTCTTAAATTTATACTATCAACAAAAACCTCCTTCATTTCTGTAACTACCACTCTTTCCAGCAACTTTCCCATCACAGGTAATAGGCATATTGGTCTATATGACTTGATTTCCCTCTCATCCTTATCATCTCCTTTTAACAGTGCCTTTATTCTCCCAATTTTCCATCTATTTGGAAAAGTCCCTTTGTCCAAACATCCCTGAAATAATCTTCGAATTGACACTTTTAAAATCTCCCATCCTTCCTTGATCATTTCAATCATTATTCCATCTTTTCCCGGGGCTTTTCCATTTTTACATTTAGTTATTTCATCATAAATCTTGGTCTCATTTACTACAACTCTTCCATATTGTGGTTCCGTATTTTCATTCTCCACTTCCCTTCTCAGGACAGCCTGTTCTTCATTGTCCTCATCATCATCCAGTATTAGTCCATTCAGTAATCTATTTGCCGCTTCTGTCCATGTATATTCTTCAATATTCTCCCCTACCGCAACCATCACCCTGCTTGGTTTAATTTTCCCTTTTGCCATTTTATATACAACATTCCATGGACCTTTTTGAAATTCATCTTTAACAAACTTTTCCCAGCTCATTTGCCTGGCTTCCTCAATCTTATTTCTATATTCTCTTCTACTCATTCTCCATTTCCTCTCAAGTTCCTCATTTAGTCCTTCCACCTTATTTCTCCTATATCCCTTCCGTAACCTAAGTACTTCCCTTCTCATTTTCTGCAAATCCTTATTCCACCATAACACCTTCCGTGATCTTGGCTTTATCACTTTTAGTTTCTTCTTCGCAGCTCCTATAATCCAGTTTTCTATGCTTGCCGCATACTCAACCACCGTCTCCTTCGTATTTAGTTTAAATTTGTCCATTCTCTCCTTCTCTTTACTAAGTTCTTCCCTGAACTCGTCCCAGTTTGCATTTCTTATAGCCCACCTTACCTCTTCCTTTCTCGCTCCCGCAATTCTCCTTGAGCCTACCTCAATTATAATGGCTGCATGACTACTAGACGTCCAATCCCACGCTACGTGCCACCCTTTAACTCTCTCCACAATCTCTCTTGTACATAATGTGGCATCTATATATGAACTTGACTTCCCTTTCATATATGTTGGACCTTGTTCTTCTTCATTTATTACTATCAGATCCCATGTAGCAATAAGTTCTTCCAACATTCTTCCTCTGTCATCCTGCTTAGACCCCCCCCAACTGGGGCTTTTCGCATTTGCGTCCATTATTATTATAACGGGTTTCCCCGATAATTTCATCATGGCCTTGTCTATTGCTCTTAAATGTATATCAATATCATCTCTATATTGACAATATACATTTATCATATAAAAACTTTCACCATTTAAAGGTAAAATTTCGGTCACTACACAATGACTAGTGGAAAAGTCACTAATCTTCATGGCATTTACCTTTGGATTTATTATAATCGTTCCGGCCCACGGGCACTCCCCTTGCTTCTCTCCCGTAATTACTTTACTACTCATACCATATCCCACAATAGTATTTGTAATTCTGGTTACATATGGTTCTTGCACCGCTAGTATATCTATATTGTTTACACTCGCTTTTGTAGTAGGTAGGGACAGAGGAAATCTCGTTAATCCATTCATGCGCGTCACTAATTAGATGACGAGGCATTTGGCTAATAAGTACTTTATTGATGATAATTTAACAAAAAGTATATGTAATAGAAATAATACAAGATATTTCTTCTTCCTGCAATATACAAAGAAAAAAAGCATTCATTACAAAATTTAAATACATCACTTTTCATACGGGGCTCATTACACCCCAGTTATATAATATGAAATAAGAAAAAAAAAAAAAAGAAAGAGAAAAAAAAGAAAAAAAAACAAAAAAAAAACAAAAACAAAATAAGAACTACAAAAAAGAAGAAAAAGAATACAAGATATACAAGAACAAACAAAAGAGAAAACAAAAACATTATCAATTAACGATAACAGAAAAGAAGAGTGAACCTAGATACAAAATAATAGTCCTTATATAAAGATACAAACATAAGATACCTACAATTATATACATAAGAAAGAATAATAATATACAATAAGAAATAAACAGCAAATGAATTAACAAAATAAAAAAGACCCGTGAGAAAGGTAAAACAATAATACAAAAAAAAAAAAAAAAAAAAAAAAAAAAAAAAAAGAGAACAGGGTCTACAGCAGTCTTCTCCCTCAATGATGTCATAGTCATCTCTCTCCGCCAGCCAGCATCCTCTTCAACAGCCCAACGCCAGTCCTCACTGCGACGCCATCGCCACTCCCCTCCTCCAGGTGGTGAAGTTCATAAGGCTTCCCGTCATCACTCTAAGGGACATCCATCCCAATGCTCTAGTGGACACGCCCATCCTGAGCAGGC